ACCGTCGAAAGTACTCCGAGCGGCAGACCCTGGCGACTGCTTTCAACAAGTATCAGAGCTATGCTCAGTTTGAGAATGATTACGGTGGTCATGCAGATTCGTACTGGGGTTTTCTTCAAGAAGTTAGGAAGAGAAAGCGAGAAAATAGGTTGTAAGTTGAATATTATTGTGTGCGTACTTCGTTAATTTAAATTGCTACTTGGTTCACGATCGTAATTGCAATAGTCAAAACAAAATACTTAAAGCCTAGTCTACCAAGGCAAAGGATAACCTTTGTACTCCGTCAACAAGAACTCCGTTAACCCGTTGCCTCGGTCGATTCCCTGAATTGGACTGTGCCGCAGTGGAACCGAGGTGTGGGATGGTATAGTTGACGACCTTTATAGCCCCCCGCCAGAAAGCAGGTTTAGGACGAAGTTGAGTGTTAGTGGCAAATTGGACAATGAACGATTTAAGTTGATAGCGTTTCATCATGTTTATACGAGCATGACAGGACGAGCATGACAGGACGAACTTGACGGGACGAGTATGAAATACCGCACACAACAGGACGAGAATTTCAACCAATCAGAGCCTTGTCGGGTAAATTTGTCGTGTGGGAGGATTAAGGGATACTAATACTAGTACATACTGTACTGTATCAATTTTAAAAAGATCATGATTTAAGAAACGCCCATGGAAATTTTGAGTAGAATACTGGGCGAACTTTACATGCAAAAGTCAGTACAAAGAATCGATAGATAGATAGATTTGGCGAATCAGCACAAAAGGACAATACTATTAATAGTACTGGAGTAAGTTTTGTCATGACTCGTACCGGCGAGATGCACGAAATGAACGAAAACTCGCGATTATGTCGACTTAGTCAGTCTGTCCTTCATGAACGTTACTTCAAAATGTTGACTTCATACGTGAGAACACGAGGATGTTGGGATGCAAGTACATCGGTGGTGTATACCGGTTTGCCAGATCTCCGACACCTTGTATTAGAACGGTATTTTATCCTAGTCTCAATGCATGTTGTACAGTATTATATCAACTTTTTATATAGAAGTTTGTATTGAATTGTTTTATATGGTTTTGAACGTTACATGTGGAATTCGCCCCGATCGGAATGTCCGCGAAATGACCCCAATGACAAAAAGGGGATTTCTCTCACAAAACAATCGCTACTAATAATCACCCTATTATGACGCAGTTTCGTGAGCTGAGTCAATGGACGACGATCCAATCTTGCAGCATTAGCACCTGAGCGCGTAGGCCTCGTATGCGAGTCTCTTCGCATCCCCAACACACATGCACACCTATGTGCAGTACACACAAACTTCTCAAGTACACCAACTGGACGCCCGCGCTACCGCAACGTGCGACTACACCTCGCCAAGCAGTTGTGGAAAACTGAGTTGGATGTCCATTTTCTGCCCAAATCTTCGAAATTCTAACCAATGAAATCATCGCGGCTATTTGTTGGCGATTTTCACAATGGCTCACAATTGGCAAGTTTAAGTAACCGGAAAGCACAATATCACACTAATTTCAATCACACACTAACTCGATGTTGAATTATTCGAAGAGTGGATTTGATTGGCTAGTTGATTCATATTTTGTGTTTTGATTGGTCGATCGATTCTCTGCTGATTTGGTGCACTGCTCATTCGATTGAGCAATTTCGAATCGAATGAACAATATTTGGATTCACAGTCAACCAAATGGGTGAGACTATTTTCCCACCAAAGTAGACCTAGTGTCACCCCCCAAGAGGCTCTGCTTTACATCGAACATGTCGTCGTCATCCGCCGCGTTGCTGCTGAATGGTGACGACGATGACGATGGCGGGATCGGGTGGATTTGCAGGGACGGCAGGTGGAAGCGCTTGGTCGCTGGAGTCGGCTCTGTGACCGCGCGGGGTCTCACATTGTTTACACTTCTCACGCCGGCGAGGTTAATCGGATGTAGCATTTGCTGAAACTCCATGCGTGGGATGTGCAGACACATGATCTTGGCGTGGTGGACGCCCACGGTGGCCGTAAAGTCGGGCAGGTAGGAGTTTTCAGACGACACGAGGCACTCGGGGGCCAGGACTGACCACGTGCCCATCTCTTTGAAGAGTCCGTGGCGGGTCGAGACCTTCACAGCGCCTTCCATGATGAACACGCAATGGTTCACGACATGGGCCTTGGACAAGATTTCCGCGCCGTTGGCCGTGCTTTTGCCGTATGCGACGAGGGGGCACTTAAGCAGCATCGTCTGGACGTCTCCAGAAGTCAACGCCCCGCCTTCAAGAATGCCACGTCGGTACATCATAATACGATTTGAAGGTAGGGAGTTTTGTTAGAAGAACACACTGACCACCAAGCGGTTTTTCCAGTTGAAATACTGGTTGATGCTTGATCAAATGCGCTGCGACGTCCGCTGCCTACACATTTACTCTCATTTCGTTGAGGGGTTTCACAATGGACAACGATCGTTTGTATACGTCACATGTACTACTAGTACCCTCAAGTCAAAGAAATATGATCGCACCATTCCATTTCTTTCAAATAGGCAAGGCGAGAATTATATTTCACATGTAACTTGGCGGCCACAATTCAAGGGTTGCTGGATGGCTGATAAGAAAGAAGTACCTCGTCAGGGGTCAAGAACATGTCTTGATCCATGTCCACATCCACGCCGAGCAATCGCATCTTCCCAAAGTCTACATGGCGGCATTCCTTGCGGTGTCTGCGCATGTCTAAGCTTATATAAACGATCAAAAACGGGACTCGAACCCGCGACCTTAATCTGGGCAACAACAAAATACATTTCCATTTCCATTTACTGTTAATTACTCCGAGTAATAAACAATTGCTACTATTTTTAATAAAAATGTGTGTATTCGACATTCCATCAGGACATTCATTCCGAACGACTTTGGAGTACGTAACACCACCGGACGTACCCACGTTGGGTTCGTTGCGGAACGTGTCCTGCAAGATCTCCTCGACCACGTCTTCCAGTGTGACGATGCCCACTGCTTCCAAGTACGGATCCCCCGCGCCAGTGTTGTTGACCTCCTGCACGAGGGCGAGCCGCGACCGGCCCATCTTGAACGCCTTGAGGAGGTCGCCCAAGTTGGCGTCGGGCCACACGCGATGTACGCCGCGGCCAAAGATTTGAATAAACTCTTCCACGGGAATTGCGTCCTAGATCAATGCACTTAAGAGATTAGCACAAAGCGTTGAAATCGCAGCAATGGCTGCCAACGGGTTGAACAAGGTGGCCGTTTCGGGGCCAATAGCATTTTTGGATCAAGAGAAGTACTGAATTCGGCAGCCATAGAAATCCTCCCTAGGTGTTTGTTGTGGCTGTCCACACACGTAGAGACAGTTCATGCGCAAGAATGATCATAACGTTATCACAATCGATTCCAGGGAGGTAAGTACTTTACACCACTATACCGTTTGCCCAAAATGTTATCGTGTCAGGATAAGACCGTAGCCACAAATATTGTGTGTGACAAGGTAGATCGATAGTAAAACATAATCCAGTACTACGTAGTACTTACTACGTGGTACTACTTACTGTAGCAGTAACTACTCCGAGTATATAAACTAATACAGTACACATCCTTCTTAGCACAGTAGTACGCACCTCTGGGTCGATGAACACGAGGTCTTTGGTAAAAAGCAGCCCGATAATGTCGTTTCTAGTCTTTCGCCACACGGGAATGCGACTGAACCCGCTGTGGTAGATGTCGCGCATGGTGTCGGCATTCAACTTGGCCGTGGACACGAGCATGAACACGCGGTCGATAGGGGTCATCACCGCCGCCACCTGCTGACTTTTGTAGTGCAACGCGCCATACATGATCCAGCTCTCCTCGTCGTCGATCATCTCTTGCTTGACGTGGATGTCGAGCATCTTCCATAGCTCCTTCTTGGTGAAGATCGTGCCCACATCTTGGCCCAGCAGCCAGTCCAGCACCATACTCACGGGCTTGGCAAACACATAGAACGCGCAAATGATCACTTTCACCACGGGAATCGACTTGGCGCCCACCGCTATTTATGTTGAAAACACAATAATATTCCCATTGTATAGGTAGCATTTTCATCTGGAACGATGGCTTACCGAGGGCATGCCGGGAACACGCAGCTTGCGGAAAGATCTCTCCAAACAACACGATCACGACTGTGGATACGATGAACCCCAAAAAGCCTACGGGGGACAATGTACACGTCAACGTATTCATTCGAGGTGTGCTTGCTTCGTGTGGCACGACATGTGTACCGCTCGTGATGTCGGCCATGATGATGGACATGAGCGAGTTCACTGCCACGTTCCCCAATAGTAACGTCGTCAGCAGCAAGTTGCCGTCCTTTCGAATTGGCGCGATGCGCTTGGCGGCATCGGCTTGCGCCTTTTCTTTCTCGGTCGCATGTTCGTCCTCGCCTGCCCCAATCACGACTTCGAGCCCGACTTTGTCGAGGGACATGAGTCCGAGCGTGAGGCCAGAGAAGAGCGCGGACATCGCCACCAGTACCACGATGCCCACAACGCGGCCAATCCACAGCGCTGGGCTGTCTCCGCCGTCACCTTGCTCCATTGCAAGTGTCACTTCAAATTGAAGTTGTCCGTGAAAAACGACTTGGTTGTCCGGATACACAAGGAACACACTGAAATAACCGGATATTGACACCAAGATTCACTCCATTGCAAGTGTCACTTCAAATTGAAGTTGTCCGTGAAAAACGACTTGGTTGTCCGGATACACAAGGAACACACTGAAATAACCGGATATTGACACCAAGATTCACAGTCTAAACTGGTTTCGCCGAGCGTTACAGTTTGGACTAACTGTACGTTGCCAGCAGGATGACGAAGCAAGCGAGAGTGAACGACACATGAGTGGGGGTCGGTCGTCTCTGGGACCTCCATAGGCACCGCCAACATCATCGCGCTCCACGTTGAATGAGTTAATCGGCATACTACCTATCGTGTCCACGTCATACTGTAGTTGTTAAAATCCACTTTCTGGAAAAATGGATATTTGGTTTAACAGTTTATATGTATATACCAGTTTATATAGCATATTTCAAGAATAAACTCGTACTCAGAGTTTGTATACTGGTCGTTGAGATTGCTCGTCTTAACTGTACAGTGCCGGTACTGTACATCAGCTTTGTCAAGCTGACCGTTGTAAATGCCACCACCACCGCGCCTTCGGCGACGAATGCGTCGTCCAACGAAGCCAACACCCCAGCTGCTGCAGCCAATTCGTCCTCTAGCGAACGCCACGCAGTTACGTTGGGCTGCCTTGCCGCTGCTTTTGCGTCCCGTATATTGGCCGTGAGTGGCCCTTAAGCAATGCGTCAGAGTCTTTGGTGTCAATAATCTGCTTAACGTACTAGTATGCTATGATGCTTCATGTACAATAATAAACCAAGCATGCTTTCCTCCATCGTTCACTCGTATAAAAAGGCCAATGAAGTTGAAATTGATCATACTCATTTTCCTATTATGTCTCCGTCGACCACCAACCTCCTTCCAGACTCATTGCCAAGCGCAATAACGTTACGGTATGCATCTTGCTGCTGGAGGTTGCGGGAAATGGCGAACGTAGCCATCCTCGACGACATAAGCGAGGATGATTGTAAGTCTAGATGAAGGAGACGAGTTTTGATGCAAGTCGACTTTGTATTCGATTCTCTGTTCAAAACGTATACGTAGTATGGACTTCAAATTTTGGCCGCCGGTTACGATGAACCAGGAAACATGGCGTATTGACTTCAGCTCAAAAGTGTTGTGTAATTTTAATGGACTTGTGAGAAATTTTAAAACCAATTAACATAATAATAAAACATTGCGTCAAATATGACTTGATGTTTGTCATAATTTATGATCAACTTTGCTAGCTAACTAAGACAGGACATGACTTGGACATCGAATATCTCGGACGTGGACCCAACGGTGCTTTGCTACTAGTACTTCAGTACAGTGTGGGGAGTCTAAGTCCGTGACGCAATATCTATGGGTTAAAGTTGATTACTACATACTATTGGTATTGTCTTTTTACCCAAAATTTGGACTTTTGTGCTGATTCTTTGCCAAATCTATCGATCGATTCTTTGTACTGACTTTTGTATGTCAAAATGGTCCAATCACACTACACCTTTTTTCTATTGAGTTGGGACTTTTTTCAACGTTGTTGGCTTGGCGCTCATTCGAAAGGGCGATGTGTCCATTCATTTGGCCTTGTGGCCAATAGAATTGACACTTAGTGCCGCAGCACCCTTTGAAATGTACCATGCTACCAATGGAAAAGGCTCCACTACCCAACAATGTGCCAAGTAGCATTTCGAATCTGCCGTGCTTGAAGTTGAGTTGGATCGAATATAACATTATATTATCACATACGCGACGGCATGAAAAAAGCAGATAAAATCATCGAAACTTGCAGCAAACAGCTATATGCCTACTTCCATGTCTTCCATTCGGTCCGCACGACCGTAGAAGTACTGCAGACAATGGGATGCGCTTGTATTTCTTGCGTGGCTATGAGCATGGCTAGTGTATCGTGAGCGACGACGTCGTACTGGTGTCTATGGTGCAGCGTTCTCCATTGTTGCACGGAATGCGATTTTGAAAAGTGAAAAAAATGGGCGCGAAGATCGCCCCACTGCAACCTTCTAGAATATTCGATCCAATTCAACTTCAAGCACGGCAGATTCGAAATGGTACTTGGCACATTGTTGGGTAGTGGAGCCTTTTCCATTGGTAGCATGGTACATTTCAAAGGGTGTTGCGGCACTTTGTGTCAATTCTATTGGCCACAAGGCCAAATGAATGGACACATCGCCCTTTCGAATGAGCGCCAAGCCAACAACGTTGAAAAAAGTCCCAACTCAATAGAAAAAAGGTGTAGTTTCATTCACACACTAATTCGATGTTGAATTGGGCGAAGAGTGGATTTGATTGGTTACTTGATTCTTGTTGTGGGCTTTGATTGGTCAATCGATTGTTTGCCGATTTGGTGCTGCTCATTTGATTGAGCACCCCCACTCCAATTTCGAATCGACTTGCCAATACTACCTACCGTCACATTGACTTCCACTGTGACCAAAACTCAAGTTATTGTCGATTTGATACAAATTTGGGGAGGGGGTGCAATCGAATCGCGCCGACCAAACCGATCCACAATCTATTTGATTGGTTGACTTTCATTGAGAAGGTTTTGATTGGCTAATAATTTTGAGCTCATTTGAGTTAGCCAATCAAATCGAAATTCCAACGAGGAACCACGCCACAATACGAAATTTCACTCGAAAGCACAATATGTCGTTCTTTTCTTTATTTGACGTTATGGCCTTGTTCTTATCCAGTTATCTCTGGCATATTATGCATGATACATATCTAAGGCCAAGCGTCAGTGGGTTTGTACTTTATATCACGGAGGAGTGAGCACTATGAACCTACCTGGTAAAGCAACTCAAACACGCGATCCACATCGGACGCGAGGGTGAGCTGGACTTCGGCATGTTGGTGGTCGTTTTGCGTGTGGAGGGAAATCACAGAGATGCCGAGCACATGGGGTTTTGTCACCCTAAGTCCCATCGCATAACGAGGTCAGTCGTGACCGTAGGGGCACTCTAGACATATATATATATATATACCTGACGATCGTGTCGAAAGCAATGTCTTTGAACGAGGCAAACATAAACACACCCGTCTTGATCACCACCCGACTAGGTAATATCATTTCGCCACGAATCAGCATCGGCAGGAAGTTGTCATAGTAGGAGGTTAGTAGCATGTACTCGAACGTGACGTAGAATTTCACGGGCAGTTTGCCCCAGAGGCCCGCGCCTTCGTACAACACGGCGCCTTCCCACGCCGCCTTCGCCGCGGACCTAGGAAGACGGCGGATATGAGCGTACTAACGTAGACATGTGTGTACCCCATGGCCCGTTGGAGCATCGGCTTGGCTTGCGCACTACAGTATCAACCATATATTATGCACGATCCAACATGAACATCTCACTATTCGAAAGGCTTCGACACACAACGAATAGAATTTGCCTATTAACCTACAGCTCCTCAACGAATAGAATTTGCCTATAAACCTCCTTGTAATTTGAATACGATCCATATTTCTTTTCACATATCCGTAGCCCCCATACGATGCATATAGTTGCATATTAATTTCAATATAATGAATTCAATTATTTATGATAATTATATACAAATGATTGATGCTGAGTATTTTTTTACCTATTTAATTATTATCAATATCAGAACATTTACAAACAGTATTTCTACGAGTATTACATAAATAAAAATAGAACAAATATGCTAGTTGCACATCGAAACACAGCAACGTATTTTGTCGATTTGATAGTACAAATTTGGGGACGGGGTGCAATCGAATTGCGCCGACCCAACCGATCCGCAATCGATCTGATTGGTTGAATTTCATTGAGAAATGGGTTTTGATTGGCTAATAATTTTGAGCTCATCTGAGGTAGCCAATCAAATCGATTTCAATTCCAACGAGAAGCCACAACACAATGAAATTTCACTCGAAAGCACAATATGCAAAACAAATATTGAATAATCACGATAGTACAGAATTATCTCAAAGGGATCCAAAAACCAATAAATATTACAGCACACACAACGAACAATCCACGCAATATTAAACAAGAAATAATTGGGGATGTAAATGCCATCAACATCATATCGTACGATTGCACAATCGTATGAATGGCCATATGACGGAGATGCTTGGTGTATTCGACCCGCCGGCCGATTTGCGCTTGCTTTTCACGAACTTTGGCGTCCACGATGGTTTTCACTCTGGTGCTCTGGGCTTCCCACAACGCATGCACCAGTTGCGTCACTCGCCGTCCTCGCGACTCGCCATCCCTCGACATCGCAGCGACAATCTTAGCAGTCGTCGGAGTGCCAGACACTAGTAATTCTTCCTTGGCGAGGGTGGCTTGCGGTGGACGGCGGATGGCGTCGGAAGGACGCGGGGGTTGAGGTTTCTCCAAGTGGAATTGAAGGTACAACGGCTCCACGAGGCTGAGCAGGTGGGCCGTCGCGACTTCGTGGGCGTGCGCGTACTCTTCTAATGGCAGCGACAGTTGCCGTAACGTCGCTTTCATTTCCCTGCGAAACCAAACGATTTCAATAGCATGAATACGATCTCTTATCTATTATATGTATTTCCCTTGGACAAATATGTCAGTAAATTCTAATCGAAATGGATACAAGTAGTCAACAAGGTGGGTGAATGTCGGTCATTTCAATGGGTTCGGCCATTTCTACTTGTTCGAGTTGTTTGATTGGCTAGAACGGATTATAATAGGAGAATTTTGACCAATATAAAGCGACTTGGGGACAGGTATCACCAAATCGTTCAATATGGTCACCATAGAGCAAGTTGGGTACAACTCGATAAGGCGAAATCGTGGGTACTCATAAGGTATACAGTACGGTAGGAAGTATATATTTTCAATTGGACTCTGCAACAAATATAACACGAATCATGCATTGACCATACATGTCAAAGGCGACGGTAACGTCCTTGACGTAGTCGTCGTCGAGCGCCACGGAAGTAGAATCGTCTAATGGGGCGATGAAGTTCGTGGTGCATTTGTGTACAGGGGAATACCTGAAGCATCGCAAAATGACGGCGACGAGAGCATGGCTAAGGCATACCCCACGTCCAAGATGGCGGCTTGGACATGTGTAAAGATCGCGTCGGCCGTGCGATGCAGTTGCGCATCAATGGTCGCCGACGAGGACGTGGATATGAACGGAACACCAGTGCCACCGACGACACCGACGAAGATGCGGAGAACGCGCAGCTTGGACGAGGACACGCCAATGCGTGCATACACGAGGTCGTGGGCGGGGGATTGGAACGCGGTGGAGGATTCGATCATACGACGGTAGAGACCGCTGGAAAGAGGCGAAGGGTCGTCAGAACTCACAGTGTCGAGTTGAAACCCGTGGGTGAGAAGGATGGTGGACACCAAGTCGTGGAGCGCAGACATCGACACGTCTGGACGCAGCTTGGCTTCGTAGATGATCCACTGTCGTGACTGCACAGGGCAGCTCGACAACCACGATTCTGCCTCACGCAACACGTCTTGCGCTGATTCTGATAGCACGACTGTCGCATCGTCCGGTGTGAGCTTGCGGAAATCAGGGTGGGTGGACGTTCCCTGCACTGTTGTCCCATCAGATAGCATCTCGACTGTTTGATGCACCAAGGCGGACAACGCGACAGGTGATGTACTAGCTTCGATCGTCGGTGTCTGCATGTCAACGTCACCGATGCTATTTGGATCATGGGGTGATGGATCTTCGTTCGTGTCAACTTGTAGCGGCGCTCCCGAGCTCATACTGATATCGTGCTTTGTCGAAGAAACTGTTGAAATCTTGACATGAAGGTGTCAATTTATTGCCAAAGATGGGGGTACAAAATATCAGACAATCGATTGACCAATCAAAACCCATAACACTAATCAAGTGGCCAATCAAACGCGCTGACCTACATTTCCGGAAGTGCCATGAAAGGGCTCAACTTGCATGGCGTAAGTTCGTTCGTCCATGCGGTGACGCGGTCGCCCAAGCTACTGATCCCACACCTGTCTGTGAAGGGTAACATGATGTTCTAGCCTCAATGACCATGCCATGACATACCTAGTGTAGACTTGAACGACATCCCGTTTGCTGAGCTGCACGCGATGGGATTCAAAGGTGTTGTGTTTGACAAGGACAACACACTCACGGTGCCATACGCTCGTCAGATCGTGCCCCATGTCTCCGTATGTACTCCATTTTCCGTCCCACACTCGCTTCTTAACCACGTTATAGGACGCGCTTCGGGATTCCCAACGCATCTTTGGGTCCGATCGAGTTGTGATTTTCTCCAACTCGGCGGGATCGAGCGACGACTTGCCAGACTTTGCCGAGGCGGCGACAGTAGAGATTGAGCTAAAAGTGAACGTGCTTCGTCATGGCGTCAAGGTAGTGGCATTTCGGTCAAGCATGGCTTATGGATGATGAAAACTTGCTGTAGAAACCACTAGGCATCGACCAAATGCAGCAAGTGTTGCATCTTCGTCCAGACGAGTTGATCATGGTGGGCGACCGGTACTCCACCGACGTTCTCTTTGGCAATTCCAACGGTATGTTGCAACATCAATCGAATTACCCATGTTAATATGTAAAATTCATTGTTGTATTTGGACAGGAATGCTCACCATTCGCACCGAACAATTGTCGGTGGCCCACGAGTCGTCGCTGAATGCGCTGGTTCGAAACACAACTACGTCATAATTGCCTTCACGTATTTGCTAAACTGTAGATGCAAACCATTGAAAGCGCGATATTATCCCGCCTTCGAAGTCAAGGCATCGAACCCCCCGCCCATCGCCTGTATAAACCATTGTCCATGAACGAGTAAATCATTCAATGCAGTCAACTACTAGTATGTGTTTAAGTTTGCAAGGTGGTGGCAGTGCTTGGTCAGACCTTTTGATGGTGGAATACGGCTGATGTATCCATCCGATTGCACTGTCCGTCGAATGTGCAGAAACGAATGGTCGTCAAATGTCCATGGAACCTCGTCGCCCATCGTGAGTGTAAGTTATTATCATGAATACGACAAAACAAGAAGCTCATGACAAATATATACACCACTTGGAGAAGCGGCGCTGAGGTGATTGTTGGCGGCGACCGACTAGGGGGTGCCGCCGCTGGCTCTACCGACGTCGATGGGTTCGCGTCCAGCCACCTTTTGTGCGCCGGCAATACATAGCCCCCATCGAGTTTCTTGAGTTGTTTCAGAGTTATGTACGTACGCCTTGGGCTGCCAGGATCGTGTTGGACGTAGTATTAAACAAGAGGTTGCCAAAGTTGTTCGTACAAGCAAGTGGAGGGGACAGTTCCCAACTGTGGCGCCCGATCGCCTTGCACGTGTCATTTAGCGAGCTTGGGAAACACACGAGGTTGATTGAAAACTTGGGCGTTTGTGAAGTCCTCGACGACAGACTTGACGCTCCAACGCCATACAGCCAGCACGGAATTGGGGCCAACTCTCACGGTACATCAGAGTTCATGGTGTAAGGGCTTTGAGGGTTGTCCTTCAGTCACACGAAACTGCCACAGCAAACCAAGCCGTGAATATGTTGACAATCCCACTAGTATTCTCCATCAACTTGCCACGACCATTATGAAACCACTACAAATGTATGCCCATCATAACGCAATTTGATGACGAAACATGTTGTGACGACCACCGCCGACTTACATATAGTAGCAACTCTGACCTAAATTTAGATTCCCAAATCCACTGGCGTTCCACTTGAGTTCTTTTCATGGCGTTGGAGTCGCTGCCGTGGGCGCCGTTCGTGGTCATGGCCACGGTGGGCGGGGTGGCCGCGTTCTTCTTGGATTTGCTCGTGTTTTACCTGTCGTATAGCTTTACGAGCCGCCACTGGTTTTTCATCTTTGTGGGCACGTTCGTCATGGCCGTGATCGACGAAGTGACCAAGTACATTGCGTACATTGGGTCTGTGCGCCGCGAGATGAAGGAGCAATTGTCCCGCGAGTGCATTTGCTGGCTCATGGTGCGCGCGGCTGCGGGGTACTCAATCCTCCTTGCATTGGTCCTGGTCATTTACGCGTCGCTATACGGCGACGAAAGCCAGCTGCCGCTGTACATTCCGTTCATATTGCTGGACATTGTCAACATCGTGTCGTGCAGTGCCATCACTGGCACGTGGCTGTACGTCCGCAAGCACCACAAACATGCGACGCACCACACCGTGCCCACGCAATTGGAAGATCTTTGCATGGACAGCGTCATTGGTCCTGCGATTCTGCTGCGCTATCTGTACTACATGGCCGCGTTTGCGTTTGTGTTCATGGGAGATGACCCCACCACAGAAATCGTCGTGTACATTGGTATCAATTTGGTCTACGCCATATTTGTCGGTGCCATGGTCGCGCTGTCCTTTCGCTTCTTGAAACCTGCCGCCTCAAGCCAAGCCACCGAGAGTGACACTAGGGAAACGTATGACCGCACCGGTCTTGAAGCGGCTATGGTTGTGTTCCCCGACGGATCCAAGGCATGACGGAAATGCGATCACGGATGTAGCAAATCTACCTGTAGTCGTTGTCGAGTGAGTGTATGAAATAGTATCTTGCGTTCGTGACAACTCTGATGTTCAAGGTTTCGTCTCCACATGCATTAACTCTAGGTACTTACTTCGAAGTAACTACGCAGCATTCGGAACCCGAAACCGAGTCTTAACCCGCTCGGATGGGATGAATTCCGATTTATTTTGCAAAACGGTAGGCCAAGTTGAATGGCTACAGTAACCAACTTTAGGGGACACATCCTTCAATTCTAATATTTCGAAGCTTGCAGGCAACAGTGAGGAAATCATGGCCTCGAAGTCCGCTACGGTAAATTCTATGACATATGCAACAATGACAATGCAAAGTTTCTTATCGCATTCGAATCTTTACGTAGTTTGTGCATACTGTACTAGTTCTCCGTAGGAAGGGCAAACTGCTAACATTAGTTTGGCAAGCATTGCGAATACACGTCCGAGTGGTAGACACACTGCCACCCTTGGTCCTTGCAACAGACGCCGTTCGGCCAATTCTGGCCATTGCACTGACTCCACTTTTCCGCACATAGTAGTTCCGGTGCCGTTGTCGTCATTTGGGGAGGAAATGTGATTGTTTCGATTGCACGGCCTGTGGAATTGGATTTGGTCGAGTTGACAGGGGTGATAATGGGCGTTGGTGTCGCCGACGTGGGGGCGGTGGTTGTCGTTTTAGTTGACGAAGGGAGCGAACCCGAAGGTGCCTCCGTCGTTGGTGGGACGGTTGGCAACGTGGTAATGGGAGTGGGGGTGCTAGGGGAGGTCGAAAACACACAGCCCCGGGCGCCGGACTTGATTCGTTGGCACGTTGCAGTGACAGGGGCCACGCATTGGCCGTTGGCCACGAAACTCTTGATGTTAGACACGCAGTTGGCTGCTGCCACATCGCCTTGGTTGGGGCAAGCATCCCCTTCGTCGCCACAAATGGCCCCCTCAACGCAGTACGTGGCGTCGCCTTCCACACTCACGTTCGTGCAACCGTGGACGTAGGTCGACATGCACAGCAAAGCCAAGGCCCAAGCGCCAATTGAGGTAGAACGCATGAGACAACTGCGAGCGAATTGGGAAATGATACCACAGCGTACTTATACTTGGTGTTGTAAATGTTCCAGATTAGGTCCTAGATCGACGACGCTTGAACAATGTGAAGTGAGGACGAGTACAAAAGCGAAACGATTGTTCGACAGGCGCCAACTGTTGTGGAAGTTCTTCAGCCATGTTGGGAAGCATGTAAATCCGAACAAATCTTTGGACAATCATTCGTTCCATCGCTCAAAAGTCGTGGGGGGCAACACATTGTGGTTTAGTTGATCATGATGTGTACATGGTAGGCCTCGGAAAAGTAGTTTGGAGTACTAGTAGTAGGGAAGACGATCAAAATGAAATCATAATTATGGAAATATTCGTACTGGCCGCCCTACTATATTCCCCTACTAACAGTAAGGACCTTAATGGTGACTTGAAGCTCGCATTGCAAATTCAGCTTGTTCGACAACCTGCGCGTCCAATACGTGAGAACAAGGAGAAATCAAGATCAGATTCAAGTATAAGAGAGCTATCTACGACGTGGCAGATCACGGTGTCTGCGCCACACAAGCAGTTATGCCTCGCTTTGCTTTGGTCGCTCAGGGTAGGCACTGCGGCGTCCTACACATGTGTTAGGCGAATGCACATCAATCTACAATAAGTTAACGTTTACCTTGATAAGAGTTGGTGACGAAGCTCCAGTCGGGGTCAGGGCCAATGTCCTTTGAGCCAGAGTTCAGGAACGCTCCTCGGCGCACCTCGGTCTTCGAGAGCGGGCCTTCCTTCGCCAATGTGTTTTGCCCTTGCTTTCCTTTGACAATGAAATAGGGAAGGGAGTACATCGCCAGCCCACCCAAGAGGACAAAGCCACCGATCAACAGCGACGATTCGCGTCGCGATTTAAGCGTTCGCTGTGCTCGTGATGCCATGGTCGATGCGGTGTAAATGCAGCCAACACTCCGCCAATTCTGGATGTGGAAAAACAGGCTTTCCGGAAATAATATACTACTAGTACAGTAGTACTTATTGCATGATAAATGAATTTGTATATTAGTATTAATACCATACAAATTCATTTATCATGCAATAAATGTTTTTTGTCCTTTGCTTACTCCTTTCTCAAACTGCCATGTATCGCATCCGAGTTCGGTCCAAAGGCGGCGCGTCCGTGCTTGAAATCGATCCATCATGCACGTTTCTTGAATTCCAGCGTACGTGAACAATGCAATGCTATTCAGATGTCATGTATATCGACAGAGAAAGCCCTGGCAGCCGCCTCACTTCCTGGCCCACCGTCGGCATTCGCATGTACGCACCTCCAGTTGTGTCGCTCACGAGTGAACGCAGCATCACGTAGATCGAGGAGGGTTTCCACCCAAGGAGATTGATGCGTCTCCAGACGAGCCAGTACGCTCTGTCTTCCAGTCCTCTGACACCGTCGTGTTGGAGCCCGTTGTAACCTCTACGGCAACAACTACCCGCGTTCCTCGACAGCTCAAAGGCACGAAAAAGTTTGCTGGTGTGGGGGTCAAGCTCGGGGCTGCAGGTTCATCTGGAGACGCTCCCACGACTCCGCAGCCCTCCGTCGACGTTGTCGCCGCCGCCGCAGCTCCCGGTGAACCATCCTCCCGAAGCAATGCGAAAAAAGCCATTATCAAAGTCGTGCCGAATCGAAAACGCTTCCACGGAGCTGGTATCTCGCTCAACCAGGCCGCCCAAGCCCCCTTAATCCATCCACCACCTCCAGCATCTACCACGAAACGTCCGCGCACGACAGCCATCCATTTAGACAGTAAAGCCGACGTCGAGTCCAAGCTAGTGATGGCCGTAAGTGGCGGCTCGGGCAGCCAGTCGACCACAGACAAGTTCTTGCGCAAGGCAACTCGACGCGCCGTGGCCCATCAATACGACATGACCCTCGCAAATGCGCGACTGAAAGCCGCATGGTCCACCAAGTTTACTGTTCAAGTGCTGGCCCATGGCAGGATGAAGGTTCGGTTTCTGGCGGGGGTGCGGGCGTGGCGGGAGGAGGAAGTTGACTGTCTCCAGCCCACGGAGCTCCGCACGGCGCTTAAGTACGTGGCACTCGCAGGGGGCGGCAACAAGGAGATGCTCAAACCATTCAACATGGCCCAAGTCTCACCTCGGTATTCGCATTCGTGTTGACAATGCAATGTCCTAGTATATATATATATATATATATATATGAGTATGTTTATATTTATATATTGAATATTTATATATATATATATATTGAATATTTATATATATATGTGACTATGTATATATATTTTTGAATATTTATATATATGTGACTATGTATATATATTTTTGAATATTTATATCTATTTTTGAATATATATATATATATATATATATTTATTTATGAATATTTATATATGTATATTTGTGAATATTTATATATATGTAGAGTGTTTTGGAGCTTGGCGAGACTATACGACGGTGACGTGGGTCGAGGACTGCAGACGTTGTTACCCGAAGAAGACTGGAGCTTCTTGGACACACGAACTCGGTACGCCCATAGATATCCCAGCAAAGCACAAACTATTGTGTGTTGATATATATATATATGTTTATACCCCTGATACGAAACGGATGGTTGTTGTAGCATGCTGTCTGCCAAAGCGTTGGAAGCTCAGGTATATTATATACTGTACCAAATACTACATATGTTATTTCGTCGAGTGGAATTAACATTTTTTGCACTCGAAATGTAGGCTACGAATGGGGGAAGATGGCGACGACACGAAGAAGGACCTCCGCCACGGACGGAACCAGCGGTGGCGGCAGTGTCCATCGACCTGACTAGCGACTCGCCAGACGAGGACAACACGGATATACTTGACCATCGAAGCATGCGGAATGCTGCCGCGAAGGCCGCCATGGCTCGATTACGGGAGGCCACTACCGCTATGAACCGCCAAGACCTATCACCAACCATATCCATCCAGTCGACTCTTTCTCCCCATACTTCGACCACAGCGTTGCCGATCCTGTTCGAGGCCCCTGCGACAGCGATCAACGACAAATTCGAAGAGGCAGCAGCGTCTGTGACAGTGCTGTGCGACGCCTGCGGCAAAGCCCGCATTGTGCTGGCAGCCGACGCGGCCAACAATGGCCTTTTGGATTCAATAGACGAGCAGTCGACAACGTGGACATGTGCGCAGGTAACGAGAGATCACGACGCCCGCCATCTATATATATAGAGACGTATCACGCATGTATACGTGTGTAGCTACGAGATCAGAGTAGTGGGGGATGTGCCAAGCCCGACGACGAAGTGCTCGGCGTGGTCCAAGGCGACATGGAGGTGGCGCAGAGCTTGGACGCGGTGGGTATGAAGTCGCGGAAGGCGCTGGCCAATGCCGATGCCGACGCGCTGTTTTCTACCTGGCGACGGACGTGTCCACGGCATGTGACCACACTCGACGCGCTCGAGTTGATTGTGCAAGAGGTATTATAGCCATTTTAGCCATAATTTGGAGGTTTAGCGGCGACTGATTCGCCAAATCTATTGATCGATAGCTGTATTGTCCTTGTACCCGAATTTGTTTGACTTTTGTGCTGATTCTTTGCCAAATCTATCGATCGATTCACTCTTTGTACTGCCGTTAGTATCCAACCATCGTCCAGTGTCACACTGATTTCATTCACACACTAATTCAATGTTGAAGTGGTCGAAGAGTGGATCATTTGATTGGCTACTAGATTCGTGTTCTGGGTTTTGATTGGTCGATATTTGATTGTCGATTTGGTGATTCTGCTCATTCGATTGAACACCCCACACTCCAATCTCGAATATATCGAGTTTACAATACTGCATTTTGTATGTACAGAAGTATTCTATGGTGATTGGAATCACATTAATTATTGTCATACACTAATCAGATGTGGATGAATCGAACGCTGGATACTACGTACTAATATGGGGAATGTATGTGTTATCATGAATATAGTAGTATGAATGGTACTAGCGTATCGTGTTTCTCGTAAATATATATGATACATGATAAAAAATTGATGATTGTATTTCCGTGTTCGTGATAGGTTTGTGCTCTTGAACATCGTCGAGAGATGATATGTGATTCTATTATCGTGAGTAGTATATGATGTTACACGTATATCGTGTAGGCTCAACGCTATGAACTGGACGAGTGCATGCAGCAGCATGTCCTGCAAGACGCACCGGATGGGGTGCTGGCCGCGCTGGAAGCTGCCAAGCTGGCGACCCCGCACGATCTCGCGAGGACCCCCGCGGATTTAATCGTCAGGGAGCTGGAGATGTTTCATGTGGCCGAGGCCATGGTGGCCACGTGGCAAGCGCTGGCCAATGACGCGATGGAAATGTCTCGGTGGATGGAAGACTGGCGCAGTGTGTAGCCGCCAGAATTATTTCAATGTAAAGTTCCAAACTTTAGACTCAACTCGGCAATTGTATTGGCTGGCTTTATCGTCGAATAGAATGCGCAATGGAATTCCAGCTGTCGTCGCATCATCCGTCAAAATGGCGACTAATAGAGACCAATGTTACGATGGGAATATGTTTTGAAGCTGACTTTGACTTGAAAAATGATGTCTTGCCCAGTCCATGCATATAATATATATATATACATACATTCATACCTCTGTGTTATTCCAATGCAACCAGTAGCCGTGCACCTAGTAAGAATACTAGCCACGACGACAACGACGACCGTAGGTTATTGGCTCTAGATGGCGGTAGAATTTGGTCGCAGTAGTCGCCGCAGAACCCTGGATCGCACACACATACGCCTCCAATGCTGCAGTATCCTTGGTTGCCACATACTTGGCCGTGGAGTTCACACAAAACTACAAGTCATTTGTCCATCAGTATCGTCGATGCAATACTAGTCGATGCAAAGCATCCTGTCGTACAGAAATCGGTGGACCGAAACACGTCCGACACCTTGTGGTCACCAGACGACCCAGCGATAAACAACACGGCGGGTACTGTGAGCTCGTTGTAGTAGCGCGCCGTGGCGCACGAGCCACACCCGTCCGACGTTTGCGTGCTCAGCTGATAGATGTTGTCCACGAGTTTGGACGTGGTTGTGGCGGCGGGCGGCGGAATCGACGAGTTGCATTGGCCAATCAGAGTGCCACTCAAGACGGACGTCTGGTCGTTCGTGGCGCACTTGGTCCCGCAGACGTTGGCCGACGTCGACAGGTTGCGCTGGGCTAGCAATACTAAGCATGGATATGTTCAAACCAAAAAACATATTTTGGGATAATATACTGATAGTTCAATATATATATATATATATATATGAAACCTTGAATATATATACGTACCAGTGTGCCCCCATTTGCCGACACACACTTGGTTGTCGCCGACTGTGACTTGACACCATTGGACGGTGGACTGCCCCAACCGATCTGAACTCGTGCCAATCCACGTCACTGCCACAACATCCATTGATCTCTTTAGTGTTTGGGGTACTACTAGTAGTTGACGGCAATATATATATATGCATCGCCTTGTACTTGGAGATGTGTGGAGGACATGACTGGTGACAGGATAGTTGGATGTACCTCCATCTCGAGATTGCCACACGTCCGAGTACGTAAACATGGCGTGAACTCCATTGCCGATGCGGCCACCGCCAAAGATCCACAGTCGAGGACCTTGGACGGCATCTCCTTGGGTCATGGCATTGAACGACAGTGCGGCGGTCCACGCGCGGGCTGGCCACGGCGCCGCACTCGTCAGTAATGTCCATGTGTCTGTATGTGACATCGTTATATGAGATATCGTTATATGAGATATCGTCCCCACGCAGCACCACAAAGAAATAATTGGGACGGCAACGTACTGGAAGCATCGAGACTCCACACGTCGTTAAACAAGTTGCTGTTTTGGCCCCATCCGGCCAAGAGGAACACCACGTCTTGGGTGGAGACGTCGCCTAGCGTGGCGTTCTTGAGCTGGTGGTTCACACACGAATGCGCGGCTCGCGCAGGCCAAGCGGGCGATGGCATTTGAACCCAGTGGCCTGGAACATATGAAGAAACCATGTCATCACGACGGCTAGGCATGGATGAGTGCAAGGTGAGACAACCTTGTAGCACCGAATCCGTCGACCACACTTCGTTGTTTAGGGGACTTCCACCAGTGACCCAAAGCCGCCGATTGAACACGAACGCGCAATGCCACCCACGAGGACTCCAGGGCACGGGGGACTTGACCATGGTCCATGTCTCTAACGCTACGCATGAGATGTGGTAGCAAGGGGAGGGGCTAGGTACGGCCGTCGCGGGTGTACCAAATGTCGTTGGCCGGGATGGGACTGAAGCCGCCCATGAGCACCATGATGGGCGCACTGCTTAGGGTTGGTTCTGGGAACACGGTCAAGGAGTGGCCGTAACGACGAGGAAACGGCGCCTCGTCGATGATGGACGTCCACGTGTTTCCGTCCACGGACATCCATACGTCGGACCGCCGCGTCGTGTCAATCAGCTGCCGCGTCGTGTACGAATCGGTCTGTCCACCCACGACCCATATCTGCCCCAGGAACGTCGTACTGGCATGACCTATCCATAGAAGAAAACGTCAATGCCTTGGCACAAACGCATTGCGTTTACCATCACGCGCATGGAAGCCAAGCCCGCTTCCTTGCAAGAAGTCCCATGTGTGCGTGTCAGTCTGGGTCGTCGGACATGGATTCGCATGCAGCACGCTCCATAGCGACGCTAGAACTGACCATCGCCCCATGGTCCTTTGCGCCGGGCAATTTAAGATCGCGTTACGAATTTGAACCGTCGTAGTTCTGTCGACCATATATCCTGGGAAGATCTTATAAATTTCTGATCTATTGTTTTGTTGCTAAATTATTATCTTGGTATTCGTATGCATCGATGGTGAAACTATCACCTTGGACTATATTATTATTTCCGGGTTGCGGAAAAGACACGGCTCGGCCGAAACCATCGACGGTCAAGGACTTGCCACGGCCAGCGCCACTACATGCGCAACAGATAGATGCAATCGACGTCGAATGTGTCCAACGCCGCGACTGCCGCGGCATTGTCGTCGCTAAGTATCCCAAATGCCAAGGCCATCGGGCTCTTCAACAAAATCTCTGGTGGTCGGAAGCCTGGCACATCAGCCGCGTCCAGCCTCGTCACTCCCACGGTACATCGTGCCATCAAGAAATGTCGTACGATTTATATGTGTATGTGGTGGTCGATGGTCATGCAGGTCACACAGGGCGGCGTCATTGCCGTCTCGCGCCTGAACGAGCGCACCGTGCTGGCCGACAACCACTTTCCAGACTTTTTCCAAACCGTCAAGCGTACATACAGAAATCAATCGACAGACAATCGATTTGTTCATATCTATATCCTCATAGACACCAAGCCTCAAAAGAAGAAGTTTGCGGTGGCAGCGTCGTCGGCCACGGCACGTGGTTCCACGGTCAAGTGGACCGGCAACAACGAAATGCAGCAGTCGGTGGGAACTGCTCCGCACACTGGTCGCCATCAGCCAACCAACTCGTCTGCCGCTGGAGGCAGCACACGGAGACAGACTACAATCGTTGACAAGTCCAAAGTCGCCGTGAAACTCGACACGGTACATGTGTGATGATGCAACATAACATCATCATCATCCTGTATCTATTTGGACTTGTGCTAGTGGAAGGACGTCAAGAACTCGTCCGACCAAGCCAAGCTGCTTCATCGAGGAGGGGCAGGCATCGGCCAGTCCTCGTCTATGGCGGCCCCAGAACGCCCATCGACTGCCGGAGGAGGTCCCACGTCCGGTGGCCTCCATTCCTTTCAATCCCAGCAGCAGCAGGTACTGTACACACCCCTTGTCCTGGTGATCTTGAGGGTTTTGTATGTGTATATATGGTATGATTGTAGTGACTGCGCGTCGTCAACGTTTTGTATCGCATATATGGCGTACTGACGTGGCATCCTCGTAGGCGTCAAACAATCACACGACCCACCCATTGGACAAACAACCTATCAAAGGCTACGTTCGGTGCGTTCTTACTACTATTTTGGTGACGTTGTCTCACGTTGCGCATTGTCACAGCGCCATCCACGACCGCGTCAACGTCCACCACGCGCCTTCCGTCGACGTACGACCCTGTTGCTGTTCTACCTACGATCATGCATTCTCCATTGGTTTTCTAGTGTCTTGATCTGCGATACAACCCAGTATACGCAATCCACATGCCATGTGTACATACGTGTATGTTACTAGACTTTGTACACACCCCCACATCGAGGTGCCAAACGACTCCGTCGATAGGAGTCATCAGCCTGTTAGAGTACCTTTTATCTGTTAAGGGATGATCTTTCCACAAAGAATTATCGGATCATTATGACCGAGTTTCGTCCCTGTTTGACAATTTTAAAAATACCTGAAGGCATTTGATTTAATGTTTGTAATATCTAATATAAAATAATTATTAACAAAAATGTAAATATATAGAAAAATGAAAATTTATATATATATATATATATATTAGGACGATGCCAAGGCGTCGGTGATATCTGTTTCCACATCGCAGACGCAACGCAACCGACCTCGAGGCACCACCGACCAATCCGGACTCCGTCCGTCGGCCAATTCCCCGCCGCGGCCGCAAATCTTCGGGGCCGACACTTCCAAGCCAGAACCCGCCATGTCCATTGTGCACACGATCGACAAATCCAACCATCGACGGGCGCCGGTGGTGGACAAAGATGCAGATAACGCAGACGTACGAACAATGTTTCGACAATATGTAGTCGTAGTATTTTATATATATGTTTTGTATATATATATATATATATATATTTATAGAACGATTATTCAACGGGGATGTAGTTTTATATATGTAGATATGTATATGTGTATATAGTTGCTTTCAAAAATTTGAAATGCTCGACATATCCAATGCAATTCATTAGGTTTGCTTTGGGGAAACCCCCGATGTGCCAGGAGTGCCCGTAGTGTACCGCAGCCAGCGCGCGAAAACGGCCAACCCCGAACGCCTCAACTTGGACCGACGGGCGTTGAAGGTAGTACTACTACCTTTGCAAGACTAGTACTACTAGTACTACTACAACTCTTTCGACGTAGGTGGTGCCCCTGCTGGACGGCGAGCACATGCTTCGTCTGCTGAATTTGCAAAACAACACGATCACAGCTATTGGCAACCTCCACGGGCTGCCGAATTTGATCTTCTTGGACTTGTACAACAATAAAATCGAGGTACCTTTCTGATACATACATACACTGGTTGATGAAATATATTTAAACAAATATATATATTTCCCGACTAGAAAATCGATAATTTACACGTCGTGCCCAACTTGCGTGTGCTTATGCTGGGCAAAAACAAACTCCAAACGATTGAAAACCTCGCGTGTTTGCCCAAACTCGACGTCCTGGACTTGCACAGGTACGATAATATATATATATATAAACCATATCATTCAAAGAATGCATTTAAAAAATCGTCTATCACAATGAATATAACATATATAATATATTTCTCAACGAATACATCCATGGCTATCCTTGGCTACGTGTGGCTAATATATATATGTATCTAGCAACGAAATCGACAAAATCGAATGCCTCGACCAACTGAACGAACTGCGCGTGTTAAACCTAGCTGGCAACCGCATCACGGTGCTAGAAAACATCAGCACGCTGACGCTCTTGACCGAGCTGAACCTCCGACGCAACCTCATCGACGCCATTTCCACCACGACGCTGGGCCGACTGCCGACGCTGCAGCGGCTCTTCTTGTCCAACAATAAACTCCCGTCCAAGGAAAGCTTACAGCCGCTGTTCCAGGTACACGGCTATTCCATACGAGTCGTGATGTCTCGTTCTTCGTGCATGTCAAAACAAAAATGCGATGACCAGTCAATGAATATATATATATATATATATATATATATATTGATGCATGATTAGAGTCGGTTGGTGGATTGTATTTCTCGATATATAGTGCTTTCAGCTGAAATTTGGATTCTTGTGCCGATTCACTAAATCCATCAATGATATTTTTGTACTGAATTTTGTAAGTAGAAAAGCCCAGTGTCAACAAACTACGAAAAGTCACACCATAATTCGATGTTGAATGGTTGAAGGGAGAAATTGATTGGCCACTTGATTTGTGTTCTGGGTTTTGATTGGTCGTTAATCGATTGTCTGCCGATTTGGGGCTGCTGATTCGATTGAGCACCCCACTTGAATTCGAATCGAATTGACTTTATAGATATATATATATGTTGCTGTCAAGAAATTGATAACCAAATATATCGGCACCCACGTGCAATAATGATATGCCATGAGTGGTCCTGTGTCAATGCAAGTGCTTTTGTGTACGTTTTTGTTTACAAGCAGAAATAAGATCGACTCATTCTAGCTGGTGGCCCTGACTGAGCTCCGACTGGACGGCAACAAATTCAACGAAGTCGAGAGCCCCGACTACCGGTCGCTCATGATCCAGAACTTTGTGTCGTTGCGCAACTTGGATTTGAAAGCTGTGACGGATGACGAGCGCCGCGACGCGTTCAGTTTGACTCAAAAGGCCACGGAAAAGCGCCGCGAACAACAGCGCGAAGAAAACCAAGTACGTTTCCAAGTGATGTCCTTTCCAACGGGGGTTTCGGGGTTCCGGTGTTTCGGGGTTTCGTCGTTGACGATGATAGACTAGCACCCCTCAAACCGAACAACCCTCTTCACGGCATGTGAACATTGCTGTAGGAAGCACAGCGCGTGCGCGCGATCACGGCGGTGCGAAAGAAATGGGAAGAAAAGTTTGACATGGACGTGATGGCAGCCAACTTGGACGACCCGTGGGGGGCCACCCCCATGTTGGTTGACAAGGCCCAGCACATGTCGATGAAGCGGCTGCTGGCGGCCACTGCGACCATGGCCAACCATGCAAGCCATCCGATCCAGATCGGGTTCTCAGAGGTCGAAGTGTCGGACCAGTCGCGGACGCTGTTTGTATATGGCGACGCGCTGGAAGCGCTGGACAGCGTCAAGATCCACGCGATTGTCACTGCGATCGTGTTCAAGTACATTCCGTTCGACGTGATCGCCAAGGCCGTGAGTACTAGTAGTAGTACTAGCAGCAACAACGTGTACCTCCAGAGCTTCACTGCACTCAAGCACGTGCATTTCGCCTACAACCAACTCACATCCCTCGACCAACTGCATTGGGTCGCCAGGCTCGGCTCCCGTGCCGAAGAGGTAGTATGACTACAACAAGTCACTGGATATAGTGTTTTGATGGAGATATATTCGTTGTACTAAGTCATTCGATGTATGGTTGATCGATGCATTCATGTATTTTCCTGATTGTGGCCGTCAGTGGGATAAATATATATATATAATAAAAACTCCATTTGTTCTGGGTGCGACTCGTTTCAACAGTAGGCTGAAACAACACTCGGACTTTTCCAAGTTATTGATATTGACATATATATTTTTTAATATATTTGTTTTATCGTGGCGTAGGTAACCATCTCACACAACCCCGTGTGCCACTTGCGGCTGTTGCGACCATATGTCAGCCACACGTTGAAAAATGTCCAAGTGCTCAACGGCCAGCCCCTGTCCCTAGAAACCCAGCTCATGGGTGAACGCTTCTTCGACATGGCCCTTCAACCTCCCCATCCATCGCCCTCGTCGGTGCCGCGGAAGGGCCTCCCACAGCAGCCGCTGCCGCCCATGCTGCGTCAGGGCAGCTGCGCCATGGATCGCACTACAAATGCACTCATCAGCAAGTACTTGACAGAGGCCACGCGAGTCGACGAGCAACTCAAGGTACAATGCCGTTTCGAGTCGGAATTTGTATGGATGACGTTAAGAGGATGACAAGGATGTTTGAGTTGCCGTGGAACATGGGGAGGTTGATATACTGTATGTTGTGGATGCGTGTGTAGTACATGAACGACAAGTGGCACTCGATGGTGTACGACGTGATCAAGGAAACGCTGGAAGAGGTCGAAGACATGGACAAGTACATGTCGAAATGCCTCGACCGATTGTGACGATAGAATTATATATAAAAATATTCAACATCTTGACACGACAAAGGATATTATTATTGAAGCAAATAGTATTGTTTTTTTCCACGGTAAAAATATTAATATTCACGGCCGCGACGGGTTGTTTATTCAGTTTCCATGATGGTTTCCTCGCCTTGGTCCTTGTCGCTCTTGTTGCCGTCGTCGTCGCCGTCGCGTTCTTTGCGCGCTTGAATGCGACGCAGGACCTTGGACGAGAGCTTCTTCACGCCTGTCTTGGCTTGCGTCGCTTTCTACACGACGGCATGTCCATGAGGTCACAGATCAGAGGGAGAACATGGATTGATGATTGTCGTCGAACGTACTCGGTTCTCGCGCTTCTTGGCCAGCTTGTCCTTGACGTCCTTGGCTCGGCGAATCTACGCGAAGCACGCATTAGCTCTTGCGTCATGCATACAATGAGGTTATAGGTCTCTCTCGTACCTCCAAGTCATGCTGAGACTTGACAACGGTACGCTTCATTTTGCGGGACATGGTGGTTCTTGATGTGCTGCACACCAATGTTATTGTAGCACATTCGAAGTTCGAAGCATCCCCAGTGATCGAAGTTCACGACGGATATACGTATCCGGATAATCCGACTGCCAATCATCACGTTCTTGACAAACATGTTAGTGCGCCGCCTTTGCCTGGCCAAGGATGGCCTGCTCAAGCAGCTACACCGAGCCATTGGCATCCCTGCCTCCCATCAGCATGGACACTTCTTCTCCACGGAAGCGAGCAACGGCAAGCCAGAAGCGAAGGAGCTCATCTACGAAGCTCCGTTGGCTCGACCCGTTCGAATGATGAAGGCAGTGTCCGTCACGTCGTGCACGTTGACCTCCATCGGGATGCCTGTCACGTGCATCTATGGCTCCGTGTTGTCGTCAGTGGTGGCCCAGGTACGATGTGAACAACTAGTCGTCATGTTTCCACTTGTCGCTGACCTTATGGTGTTGCCGCTTCGGATTGTAGTGGGCGATGTGCAGCACCATCATGGTAAGTCCGTCCCGTCCAACGCAGTGCTCTCCAAGTATAGCTCACGATCTGATTAGTTTTTCGGCATGGGGACCACCGCGCTCTTTCACGTCCTCTTCAAGCCGTATGTCCTTCGCTTGTGGATCGACCGAGACTCGGAGCTCGTGACCGTTGAAACCCTCAACTTGCTCGCGGCCAAGACTACCTCCGCCTTCCAACTGACCGACGCGACGTTCCCAGACAAGTCCATGCACCCCATGATCAACTTCAAGGCCAAAGACAAGCACTACTTTGTCCATCCCGAAGCGTTCGACGAAGCGGATCGCGCAGTTGTTGAAAAGCTCCTCGGTCGCCCCCTCGAAGAACTTTTGCCCAAGCCCGACGAAGACAAGGACGAATAAATAATCCTAACCACAAATACTACTTGGGAATAAATACCATTGGATATCCACAGTCGACAACGAGATACTACATGTTCATGGCACTGCATGCATTTGTACGAGTAGTGAACATAGCTATATACTAATGCTAGTGCATCAAAAGTTGACGACGACACGTTCCCGTTGCATTGCAACGCCCCCAATCAACGTATATCAAGGCGGGCAAGTAAATTTGATGCAAGTATATCTTCATATTTAAGCTGTAGACCATTCACAGTGCGTCCAATGCTGTCTTTCCACCTCGACATGTGCTCCATAGTGAGTTGTAGCTACAAGCATTACTAATTACAGGATCAGCATCACATACGAGGTTACTTTCTAAAGTGACGACGGCACATTGTTCTATGGCCTCACTACATCTTCGACGTAATCGTACGCGTCCAACGCGGCCCGACTGGCCACGAGTTTGTCTGTTCCCGAAGGTTTAAACGCCTAAGACAACGGAAAGATCATCAACCAATAGGAACCCCATTCATGTGGTTTGCCCTTGTATCTACAGCCAAACTAACAAAACTCATCACGCACCGGTGCATCGTTATCGGACTCGTGCGCTGTGGTTTCGTCGTCTTCCTCGACGTCACTGCTCCCACCGTGTCATACAACCTTAGTATATGTATATATGGTATTCAATGTTACCTGGCGATCGCATCTTCTTCAAAATCTTCTTCAAAGTCGCTTCCATAGTGTCCGTCGTCGTCGCTCTTGGCCTCGAGCTCGTGCTGCAGCGACGCCTTGAGTTTGCTCAGTGTGCCCGTGTCGTCTTCCGCTTCCATGGCTTTCAAACTCGCATCGAGCGCTCGAAGTCGTTCGGCCTGTTAGGTTCACAACCACACAAACCACCATGTCAATCAACTGCTAGCAATCGTGTTTTGATCACTGGTACATATTCCCTTACGTCGTCGTCCTCGTCGTCGTCGTCGCCGTCGTGGGTCGTCGGTGCGACATCGTCGTTGGCGAGTGTAGGTATGGTTAGTGTTGACGCGGATTGAAGTGGTGGAAACGTTCCCAAAAGCGAAGTCGGGGCAGTTGGAGGTACGTCGTTCGCTTTGGATGCTTCCGAGTCAAGTTTTAGATCCCCCACGGCCACCTAAAGTCGTCCAACATGATTATGACCACCCGTTTTCATGTTGACATTGCCCCTGGCGACTTGAGGCTGGAGGTTAAAGTACCTGTGGGGGCGGAGGTTTTGCCGGAGATTCGATGGAGTTTTCATAAACAGACGACGCGATGGACTCCTCGTCTTCACCCTCGTCGTCGTCGAGAGCAATCGAAGTCGTTTCTCGATCTTGATTCACTGCTTTCGCCATAGACGAGACAGCTGGGGGAACTTCTTTGGTCGGGGGTGGTTCGTGCGATGCAAATGCAAGGATGTTGGGGCTTTTTGATGCGAATGGTTGTTGTTTCGAGTCCAATGTGGTGGTTGTGGGCGTCTTGACAGGCAACGGGTCGTCTTGAGACTCTCTTGCGTAGTTGGAGGTGTTGGGCGATACATTGGAGATTGTCGACGGGTTTTGGCATGATGGGAGGTCGTGTTCTCCATGTCCACGGACTTGATTGTTTATCAGGTCGATCAAGAGTGTTACTGAGGACGACGGTTGTTGTGTTGACAAGTTGAGCGACGCAGCCACGTCACGGCGAGTGCGCGACAAGTCGGCCTTGAATCAATGGAAGATTGTGAACTGTTATCGTGGGCGTCGGTCATAGTTCCCATACCTCTGTGAGCGATGCCTCCGCTGTGAGAACCGACAGAGTTTGCTGTAAATTGAATTGCCGAAGGAACTCTACTACCACTTGTAAAGCCAATGAGGCATCTTTCGTCGCAACCAAGTCTCGCTTGGATTTAGTTGGTTCGTGGGTAACGTTGTGGATGGCGTTATACACCGCAGCGCGCAGTTGAGCCTACGTTTCTATGTGATCAACCACGTGATGTCCAAGGAGGATAGATGATTGGACCTTGATTTGACCCAAGATCCCCTGACTTTCCAACGTCTGTGTCACCAACAGCTTGACCTCGTCGTCGGCTGCTTTGGTTGCTGCCGACATCGTGGAGGCTTTATCGAAAAAACCCTTCAGGATCTCGATTGGACCAATCACTGGCCACGTCGATGCAAAGATCGGATGGGAAACCGATGGGTATATCCGGATACGCACGAGTTTTAAAAAACCAAATATTTTAAACTTGCAAACTGTAGGAAAACTCCAAGTAAGTACTTATTGGACGTTTTATAAACAATGTTTCCGGTTATTTACCGAGCGGCAGAAAGATTTTCATTTGTGCCGCGTCAACAGTAATGTCAAGTGAAGCGCTGGACGACGACAAGGTCGATGGCGAGGAGAAGGGAAACACAACGCAGATGAACGCACAAGTCCCGAGCGGTGGCAGGAACAATGTCGTGGTGAAGGTTGGCATGGTCGGAGATGCGCAAGTGGGCAAGACCAGCCTCATGGTCAAATATGTAGAGGGCAAGTTCGACGAGGATTACATCCACACGTTGGGCGTGAACTTCATGGAGAAGACAATCACATTGCGGAATACCGAGATCACGTTCAGCATTTGGGACTTGGGTGGTCACCGCGAGTTCATCAGCATGTTGCCACTGGTGTGCAACGACGCCGTGGCCGTTCTGTTCATGTTTGACTTGTCTCGAAAAGCTACGCTGACTAGCGTCAAGGAATGGTATCGACAAGTGCGCGCCATCAACAAGGTATGAAGGCGAACACATGTACTCGTCTGACATGCCCTATGCTAATGGAGTGTGTCTTGGTGGTGAGCAGAACGCATTCCCATTTTTGGTGGGCACCAAGTACGACCACATTGCCACGTGCTCCCCCGACGAGCAAGACGATGTGACCAAGCAGGTTGGTACTTCAAAGATAGCTTGTCAAGGCATATGGGTCGTCTAAACGTGCGCTTTCGCCAGGCGCGCAAGTTTGCCAAGGCTATGAAGGCGCCGCTGATCTTCACGTCGGCGTCGCATGCTGTGAATGTCCAAAAGGTGTTCAAGATCGTCCTCAGCAAAGTGTTTGACCTGAAATGCACGATCCCACTGATTCAAAACGTTGGCGACCCCATTCTTGAGTACTAGCAATACTGTACTAGCAGCATAAATACTTCATAAACCACATTTTCCTTCACATTACACTAAAGTACTGTACTAACTGTAAAATAGAGCAGTCGTAACTTTGTCGTCATACTTCAGGGTAAATACTGATGTAGAATGGGTTCTAATGCATTTTTATCAGGCTAGCCAATCACAGGACGTTATTTACACTCTATATAACCAATCAAACCACTTCCGTCGATTGTTGTCCCAACTGTGTTTATCCGAATTGACACCGTTTATCCGAATTGCATTGAAATCCTCCCTCACTTTCATTCGAGCAGAAGTACGATGGACCAACGCATGATCGTTGAAGAGGAGCTGGAGAAGCTCGACGTCCTGGGACGAAGGGTCCAAGAATCCACAGCTATGGCCCGCCAAGATGCCGACAAATATTTCCTGCATATGGCCACTGTACACACCACGATGAAGGAGTCCGCTCGGTACAGTCTGCATGGGTTTGTCGAGTGGGTGGCCGACACCTTTCGGACCAAGAACGTCGAGGGCCTGCGTTTCCTCGTCCGCGCGTACATTGCTCGAGACTTGGAATTGCCAGTTGAGAAGTTCTTGGAAGCCGCGGAAAACGTGACGATCTTCTCCCTTGCCCGCACGAAACCCGTTGCTCCACCGCCACCCGAACCGGAGCCAGCCGTTCCTAATCCCGTGACCCCCCAGTCGTCGAACGATGAGCCATCCCCAGTGGTGCCCATTGAGATAGCTCCATCACCTTTGCCACCCACGACGCTGGCTTCCCTACCGACAACACCGTCCACCCCCCCACCGCCCGCATTGCAGCCGGCCGTGGTGCAAGTTCCACCAACGTCGCCGCCGGCTCTGCATATTCAAATTGAAGAAACGACCTCGTTACGTCAAGTCGACAAAGTGCCGCCTCCGTCTCCACATCCCGACGCCGAGTTGCTGCCCTCGAGAACAAAGACCAAGCAACATCGGCGATCCGAGCCACCGCGAACTCCTCGTCCCGCCAAGAAGGCCAAAGTCACAAGCCGACAGTCCAAACGAGTGACTTCAGCGAAGCGTAAACAGTCAGCAGTCGTCGAGGTGATCTCCATCGATGACGATGATGACGACGACGGTGACGAAGATGGTGACGAGGATTACGAGGAGCCGCCTAAACGCAAAAGCGACAAGCCAGCCCTCCCAGCCTCGTCACCGACCACTGCTACTGCGACTGCATCTGCGGCTACGACTGCGGAGGCTACCGTAGCGTCCCCCGTCGCAGACATCGACAGCAACGACCGGTCTGACGGCAAGCCGAGCCAACCGACCAGCACCACAAGCGACTTGCCATCCAAGCGAAGCAAGAAGCCACGTCAGAACACTAGTGGAGCGACCGCTTCGTCGTCGGTTGCGGGGAGGCTGCATCTGCTGACCCCTCGAAAGCATTCCAATTCAGCTCAGCGGCAGCAGCAACACAAAACGCCGGCGACATCTGAACCTTCCGTCGCCTCCGAACAAAAAACCGAGCTCACGGACACTCGTGTCCTCCCACCTGCAACCGAACCAGCAAAAGCCAGGCCGTTGTTGAACCAGCTTTTGCACGACTCGATGGGTGTTGACGACGCAAAGATGGACGAGGCGTCGTTGGCTAGCGTCGATGACTTGCAGGAGCTGACGTCGATGGTGGTCGCGTCCAAGCCGTGGACCAAGTGGGGCCAGCGGCTGCGCTCGTTTCTGCCTAACGACACGCCGGAGCGGCAGGCTTGGAACAGCTCGCTCGCCGACTATTTCGACAACCATGCATTTACGTTGTGGCACCGGTACTTTCACATGGACGTACCGAACGACTTGAAGGCGCAGCAGGACGACGCCACGAGCCATGCGCAGGCCGCCCTCTATGAGCTGGCCCATCGCTTACATGCTATGGAAGGCGACGACGTGTTCAAATTTCTCAAGCGCGCGCCGCATCCAGCGTGGCCGTCGTGGCTGCCCCAGCCCATTCAACTGCGTGATCTCAACGACGACGATGCCGTCAAGTACCTCAAGACCCAATCGGGCCGACGGTGGCCTGAACTGCCCTTGAAGATCGCGTTGAATGGCCAGCCGTTCAAACCTTTGTTCGATCCCCTCGGCATCTTGACGACCACCCCCGACGTTGCCTTCTTCAAGACGCACAACATTTCTCCCACGTGGGCTCACGACTTGCTCCGCCGACTCGAAGCCGATAGCGTGTACGACGTCTCCAAGTGCGCGTATGTGGGCGTGACCATGTTTGGCGAATCCCCGCCGCAGCATTTGCCCAACCAAGTGGCGTCGGCATACGTGTGGGATTGGAAGCTTGAAACGGTTGTCCATCGCGTCCACGAGTTGTAACGCTATTGGCAGAAATCTATATGGACGTCTTTTATGTACGATAATGTAGTAGTAAGTAGTACTTGGGTCTTGTCTGATGTGAGTACTGCTGGCTGTTGGTCGTAGTAGTGGTCTTTTTCGGGTGGTTAGGTTCCAAACTGCCTTTGTAGGAATTGATTGGCTAATTCGCGTGCACCTTTAAATGGATCGAGCCCCGAAAATAATGTTATGTTGTTTTTCTACTTTTGAGTTAGAAATCCCAACCTCCAATTCTATGTCAAATCCAGTGTCCGAAAACTCTCAATTTTGGTACAGTACATGTACATGTACGTACGCCACATAACCTCCAATTCTATGTTAAATCCAGTGTCCGAAAACTCTATTGTGGTACAGTCCGCGCCACATAAATAGACCCAAACAGTTTTTCAGGCGCAACTCTTGACCTATCACAGAGTCGTAAAACTAAATGAAACAAACGATAGCTTATGATTGGCGGGATATTTTGACATACGATTTGCCGCTGTGGGTCGTTCAAAATCACCTCAAACCTGATTTGCCTTCCTGGACACCACGCCAGTTGAATAGACCCAACCGTGTTCAAGTGCCCTTCAGGTAAAGATACACACATCCAAGATATCTAGGGCCTAGTACATACCGGTAACCTACACAACTACCTACTAGAAACACAAAACACTCGTTAACATTAAACACAAAACACTCGTTAACCTTAAACATTAGTAAGGATGGGCTGTGGACCGCTTCTGACCGAGGTTGAAGTGGGCATGGTTTTGGCGCTCCGAGACCATGGTTTCACACACCGTGCCATTGCAGAGCACGTCGAAACGTCCACCAAGGCCATACGGACGGTAATCAACCAGCGTGAGGCCTATGGAAGCAACTTCAAGGGCCAAAAACCGGCGAAACTGATTGGGCGGGAACTTCGGCTCCTCATTCGAGAGGCATCCCAGACCGGGTTGTCGGCAAGAAGCGGGTTGTCGGCAAGAAGCCTCGCGACTAATCATCTGGCGTGGGCCAAATTTTGATGTTGTCCATAAATTATGAATTACAGCTCGTAGAATGTTAAATCGTACATCAATCGCTTTGCCTATTGATAGCTAGGAAGATGTGCCTTGGCCTGAAGTGTAGAATAGTTTGTGTCAAACGTGAACGACCAAAAATGGGATGGATCTATCCATGTGACGCTACGCCGTTGGAATAGGTGCCTCAGCCCGAGCTGCAGTACTTCGACTTATCCGCCCCCGACAACGGCACGCTGTTCATCCTTCTGTCCATGTTTATCGCGTTTGGGTACGTCTTGGCTGCGAGTGCGTCGGACGCGATGTTGGTCGAGTACGCCCAGCGAGAACCTGTTGCCATCCGCGGCCGCATCGAGAATCCATACCGCCATCTACGTCGTGCGCTCGCTCGCTGGCATCCTCGCGTAATGGTGAGTTCTCGCTGGGTTGTAACAGACCAGCATCGCATCCGACGCGCAGTCGGCGATGACGTACCCGAACGAAGCAAACATGGATAACACGACGAACACCGTGCTTTGGTTGGGGGCGTCCAGGTTGAAGTGCTGGAGGCCGGGCGTCGGGACCATTTCCAGCGGCGTGCCACAATACGTGGTCTTTTCGCGGTAACAGCTCGCCAACGACGAAATGTCATGATAATCAGACAGATATCGTGATGGTCCATTCGATCAACATCCACGGCTTGTGCTGGCAGTCGAAGATGGGGTTTGCTTTTTGGGGACGCAGCAAAAACTACCAACCCCAACGACGCCAACTTGCACGCGTAACGTTACACGGAAATGTACACTTACGTGACGTCATCCCCGCACGTCGGTGGTGTCTGTCGCTCTTGAGGTCGTTCTGGGACACCTTGAAGAACCAGGAGACGTACTTGTAGTCAATACCGTCAAACGTGCTCGCGAAGTTGGTGATCGTCGAGATCAGGCCGTACATGGCACCACCACTTCCACCGCCACAACGGGACGTTGTCGGCCAGCGCCAAGCCTTCATACTGTAGTACCACTGGTTGCGAACGACGTCCCTGCGTTGCCTTCAAGCAATACTTGACTTGGAAAGATGACAAGCCCGTCGACGAGGATCACGTCGGTGGTGTCCACAGCGATTATTCACCGTTCATTTCATTCAATACTGCTCCGATCATACCACCATGAACCAGAATTCCAGAGTAACGTTAACGACTCGCTGTGTAGCATCTAGGGCGACTAGTTGCCCAAGATTCTAGCCATCAAGTTGTTGATGGGTTCGACCCCCGCCCAGTACATGGCCACGTGATTGCTAAGTTACGTTAACGCAAACCTTAGATGTCGATCGCCTCATTTATGGATCAATATTGGAATCGCCAGGACAACACGAAATATGCAATGTTCATTATACGCTACTTCAAAATGCAAGACATCTTTTTCTACTTGACGGGGCACTTGCCCGTGTTGGGGTCCAACACTCCGTTGCCCCCTGCAACGCGATAGCACTTGGTGGAGGGATAGATGGACATGATGTTGCTGGACACGGCGAACGACAGGCAGAACAAAAACAAAGTCACGAGAATGTACCCCGCCACTTTGCTCTTGCCACCGCGCTCCTTCAGGGCCTTCGCTTCTGCCTTTTGGGGAGGCATCAAAAACAACCAAAACAACGACGCGGTCTTGAACCCGTACGAAATAAAGTACACGTACGTGACGTCCCACCGCACCTCGAGCGTGTCGGTCTTGACGTCATTCTGACTTACTTTGAAGTACGAGTTGACGTACTTGTAAAAGATACTAGCAAAGGGCCCCGAGAGGTTGCTCACCGTGGTGATCAAGCCGTACGTGGCGCCTTCGTTGCCCTTGTCGGCGATTTCCACGGCCACGTACGTGGACACGATAAAGCGGAGGCCATAGGGAAATTGCTCGGCCAACCCCACTCCATTAAAGAACCACTGGTTGCGCACGACGTCCCAGATCGTCAAGAACACGGTAAAGCCGTCAACGACGACCGTCCCGAGGGTACCAGCGGCGATGGTCCAGCGCCAATTCCAGTTAAGCCCCCATTTGCCCACAATCGCCAAAACAGAAGCAAACATCATATTGCCAAAGATGTTCGAGAGCGCATCGTTGAGAGGTTCGACCCCCGCCCAGTACGTCTGAATGGGCAACGTCGCAGTGGTGCGCACGCTGAAGAACACGTTGCTGAGGAATCGGAACAAACAAACTTGCCACAACACGCGACTCTGCAGAGATTCCCAAAATTTGCCCCACCACAGAGGGAAGGACACAGCCTCGGACTTCTTCTCCACAAGTACAAATATCGTCGAGAGCACCGCTATAGCACACGGCGCCAAGGAAATGGCGTACGGAGCATTCGGCGACAACGCAAACGAAAACGACCCGCCGTAGTTGGAGCCGTTCAACCCGAACGCACTCACACAGTGAGAGAGGATGCCAGTGATCTCGCGCACGGTGTAGATAGCGGTCTGGATGCGGCCGCGGATGGCAGCGGGTTCTCGCTGGGCGTACTCGACCACCATCGCGTCCGACGCACTCGCAGCCAAGACGTACCCAAACGCGATAAACATGGACAGAAGGATGAACAGCGTGCCGTTGTCGGGGGCGGATAAGTTGAAGTACTCCAGCTCGGACTCTGGCACCTTTTCCAAAGGCGTAGCGCAAAACTTGGTCTTTTCGCGGTTGCAAAACGGCTCGCCGAACGGCGAAAACGCCATCACACTCAGACAGCTCATCGTGATGGTCCACCCGACCAAAATCCACGACTTGCGACGATAGCCATAGATGGGGACGCAATCCGACAACATGCCAAAGAAGACCTTGAACGACCACCCGATGTACATCAACACCCTGTACGACGACGTTTGGTAACCCTCCAAGTTGAGGTAGATGTTGAAGATGGGATACTGGACCGCCGGGATTATGTTGAAGATGATCCCAATGGCGCCGTACTGTATGAACAGGGCATACGCTTCGCGGGAGAACAAGCTCAGCGCACCCCCTTCAGCCAGCGCCCCCTCTTCCAGGTCCTTGGGTGATTTCGCTTCGACGTACCCATTATCGTCTTTGGCCGTGTTCGAGTGGATGTACGACACGCGTTCCTCCAAGTCCACCGGATCCTTGTTGCCGTGGCTTGCCATGTCAGCCGTGAAATTGAAAATGAATTGATTGTTGTGCCTCCAGGGTTCGATTCCTTGAACGTCACAGGGTACACGTGGTAGCAGTCGTGTAGCGAATAATCACAAACAAGGGTAGCAAATCATAAGGCTAACGTTATCGGAAGTATGTCGCGGATATTCTCCAGAAATATCTGTCTCACAAGCTTGGAATTGCAAGAGGCCAGGACCGATCAAGGTGGTCCATCGCCAGAGAACTGCATTGAGACTGGCGCACAGTAGTACTGCCAATAATAAAATAAATTCGAAAGGACAGAAATGCAATGAAAATGAATCAATATTGTCCAATCACAGTGTCCCTCATCCACAAGCCCTGATTGGCTAGTTCAAATACAAAATTTAAATCTAATTGGTTGACTCAGGATCACTTTTGCCATGCGAGCATTATCCAATGACGCCACCTCGTCGTGTTGCAAAACGCCGGCAGCGTCGATACACAGTCCGCCAAATCCGAGTGTACACGTTGCAATCATGCAACGTCTTGTTGACTCGATGCCAAGACGCTGTGTCGCTGTGATCGAGTGAAACGGTGCCTTGACGCCTTACTAGGATGGAATCCGTGCATAACTACATGAAATAATGCGATTTTACTTTTGTGTCTTATTTCGGGTTCCGGACGGAATATATGAAATCGTTGTCTGCGGAGCGCACTGATTAACTTTCGACGCCCCAGGTAGTACAGAAGGCTTCCCCATC